GAAAAGGGAAACACACCACACCCACCCCCGCCCCACCACACGCCAAAGACACCGCGCCACCACCGCAACCTCCAGCTGCACAACTCTCACCCGCACCACAGCTCGCCCCGCACCCAACAGGCAAACCCCAACACCCCTCCCCACACACCTGCCCACACCGCTTTCCCACACCAAAACTCAACCCCCCGACGGCCCACCGCCTTCCCCACAACACACACACAGCCCCTCCCCAAGCACCCAACACCCCAACAAGGAACTTCCCCAAGACCACCCCACCAACCAAAAAGGGACACCCCGCAAAATGGAAACCGGAAAGCAGAAAGCAAATCCACGGCCCCCCATAAAGACGGCCACCCGACACCACCCCAAGCACAGCCACCACCAACACCCACCCACCACCACCCACCACCAGCCTCCTCACCAACACCACCCACCATGCCTGCGCCCGCAACACCCCACACCCGCCTGCCCCACGCCGCCACCACGCTCCTGCTCCTCCTGACGGCTCTCGCCACCACCCTCGCCTGCCGACACCTGCCTCTCTGCCACACCACCTTCCCCTGGGACAGCCTCACCATCCTCCGACACATGGCTCCCACACACACCTGCCAACACCACACGCCCCTCCTCCCCTTCCCCGACACCCTCCTCCACACCAACCAACCACAGCAAGCCGCTGCCATCGCCACACACATCCTCCACAACCTCCTCGCCGCCCTCAGCAGCCACAACGGCCCCCACCACTGGCACCACCACGCACGACAGCGCCTCCTCAACAACCTCCACCACCGCAGCCACCAGCTCCAACAATGCCTCACCCACAACGCCACGCTCCCCCAAGGACAAGCGCCCCGCAACGCCACCCTCACCATCAACAAGTACTTCACACGCCTCCAACGCTTCCTCCACACCCACAACCACAGCGCCTGCGCCTGGGACCACCTCCGCCTCCAAGCCCGCGCCTCTTTCCAACGCCTCCACAACCTCACCCGCACCATCTGCGCCTAGAACAACCCCCCACAACCCAACCAACAACCCTGCTCCACCACCCACCCACCCACACCCGACTCCCACCTCTCGCCTCGCCTCTCCCACGCCAACAGACAAACCACCCTCCGCCGCCCGCCACCCACCGCCTATATTGACGAAACTTCACTTATTTAGTTCATTTATTTATTTAATTTATACATCTATTTCTTTATTTATTTATTTACTGGGACAATGCCTTTCCCCTACTGATTCCCCTATTTATTCCACACACAATAAAGACCTCTTGCAAAAACCCTGCCGCTGCCTCTCCTCTCACAACCACACCAAGGGGGCTCTGGGCCGGGGGGAAGACACCTCCACTCCACACCCACTCCAAGCCCTGCTCCAAACAGGGCTCTCCACAGCCCGACACCGCTCTCCTCCTTCACACCTCACCAACCACACACCTCCCAAAACTGAGGCCACGCTTGCTGCTGCTGGCTGCACCACCACCATCTCAGCTGCCCTTGTCTCCGCAACTCTTGCCACCTCAACACCCAGCTCCACACGCACTCACCAGCAGCTCCGCAAGCCTCAGCACAAGGACAACACCCACCTCTCGCAGCAGGTCCACAGCAGGGCCACAAACACCATCACCCCCATGCAACACCTCTCCCGTGGCACAGCCTGACAGAGACATGCCCTTCCTTCCTCAGCCGGGAGAAGAGGAGAAGGCTCTGCGGACACCTTCTTGCACCTTTCAATACTTCACGGCGCTTCCAAGAACATTGCTGCTGGGGGACAGCGTTAGGGACACTTTATTTGCCAGAGTTCGGTCGATGGTTGGACATGGGATCTTGAAGGTCCCTTCCAACCTAGATGATTCTAGGACTTTTGAGTAGCGCCTGTAGCCACAGCACAAGGGGGAACGAGTTTCAACCCAGAGAGGGTACCTGCAGGCCCCATACCACGAAGCCCTCGTGACCATCAGGCTGGTGAAACAATGGCTGCTTAGAGAGGAGGGAGGTACCCCAACCCACAAATCTGTCGAGGTCAGGTCACAGGGGACTTTCAGGAGCCGCATCTGTTTGAACAGGTCTCTGATCATTGCTGGGGGGTCACACCAGATGACCTTGAAATGCACCGATACAGGGTAGGTGTGGACCTGCTGCAAAGCAGTTCTCAGGACAAGGATCTGGGACGCCTGGTACATAGGAAACTACCCATGAGCCAGCAATGTGCCCTTGTGGCCAAGAGGGCCAAGGGAATCCTGGGCTGCATCGGGAAGAGTGTGGCCAGGAGGTCAAGGGAGGGCATTCTCCCCCTCTGCTCTGCACTGGTGACGCCACAACTGAAATACTGCGTCCAGTTCTGGGCTCCCCAGTTCAAGAGGGACGGGGAACTACTGAAAAGAGTCCAGCGTAGGGCAACTATGATGATGGACGAATTGGAGCACCTCCCTTACGAGGAAAGGTTGAGAGAACTGGGGCTCTTCAGCCTGGAGAAGAGAAGGCTGAGGGGAGACCTTATTCATGCTTACAAGTATCTAAAGGGTGGGTTGAAGGTGGATGGAGCCAGACTCTTTTCAGGACTGCCCAGGGACAGGACGAGGGGCACCAGCTGCAACATCAGAAGTTCAATGCAAATATGAGGAAAAACATCCCAGCGAGGTGAGGGTGACAGAGCTCTGGAAGAAGCTGCTCCGGGTGGTGCTGGAGTCCCCTTCTCTGCAGATTTGCAACACCCGCCTGGATGCAGTCCTCAGCCATGTCCTCAACGCAACCCTGCTCTACCAGGGGAGTTGGACTAGATGATCTCTAGAAGTCCCTTCCAACTCGAGCAATACCATAAAACGCCCAGCCCAACCCAAACCACTCCATCAGACAATCCCTTGCATCACGCTCCCTTGGGCTACTCTTGACGCTTCAGGCACTTTTCACCTCAACCCTCCCCTTGAGCCGCTGCAAAACTCCTTCAACCACCACCTGGGCTCCCCCAACACGCCACGTTGCTTCACACATACCTAGAATCATAGAATCATACTATGGTTAGGGTTGGAAGGGACCTCAAAGATCATCGAGTTCCATCTGCCCTGCCATGGGCAGGGACACCTCCCACTAGAGCAGGTTGCTCAAGACACCATCAAGCCTGGCTTTGAACACTTCCAGGGATGGGGTAGCCACAACTTCCCTGGGCAACCTCCAACGTCAGCCTACCTCCTGCCCTCACGGCCCCGAGGCACGCCTAATCATCACGCACTAGCCAGCACCCCAAGCACACCACCCAACAACACAACCTTCCCTCACAACATCACCGTCCCCAGACCGACGCCAACTTCCCAAAACCACAAGCACAACCACACCCACCCTTCTGCTCCAAAACCTTGGAGAAAACACCTGCCGGCACCCAGCACACAACCACACCACCATCCTTGCTCTTGGAAAGCACCTCAAAACCTCACCCAGTCCGCCCTGCACCTCCCCCTCCCACAACTACATCTCCTGACCCACCTCCACCTCCACACACTCTTGAACACCCCCCTCCTCCAGCCACCCCGGGCCTCACACCATCCCAAAACCAAGACCCTTCCCTTACGGCAACCAGGGGGACACACTTTCTTCTTTCATCTCCAGCCACCTCAGCCAAGGAGGGAGAGACAACACAACAAGACCCCTGACACAGGGCCACACGCCTGCCACCACAGCCAGGGACACAACCCAGCAGCCACCAGCGGAGGAGCACAAAAACTCTTCCCCTTCTCTCCTGCCTCCTCCTCAAGCCTTTCCTCCCTGCTCTCACCACCTGCCAACACAGCAGCACCGCCACCTCCAGCCACCAACACGGCCCAGGCCACACCACCCCCTGCACCCACAACCACTTCCTCCACGGCCACCGCTGACACCCCCGATGGCCCCCAGCCCTACACACGGGGGCTCCCCGGCCTCCCCCAAGCCACAGCCACTCACAGCCCTGCCCAACACGAAAAGGAAAGGCCAGCCAAGAGCAAAACTAAGCCCAGCCACAAGGGAAAGGGAAACACACCACAACCAACACCGCCCCACCACACGCCAAAGACACCGCGCCACCACCGCAACCTCCAGCTGCACAACTCTCACCCGCACCACAGCTCGCCCCGCACCCAACAGGCAAACCCCAACACCCCTCCCCACACACCTGCCCACACCGCTTTCCCACACCAAAACTCAACCCCCCGACGGCCCACCGCCTTCCCCACAACACACACACAGCCCCTCCCCAAGCACCCAACACCCCAACAAGGAACTTCCCCAAGACCACCCCACCAACCAAAAAGGGACACCCCGCAAAATGGAAACCGGAAAGCAGAAAGCAAATCCACGGCCCCCCATAAAGACGGCCACCCGACACCACCCCAAGCACAGCCACCACCAACACCCACCCACCACCACCCACCACCAGCCTCCTCACCAACACCACCCACCATGCCTGCGCCCGCAACACCCCACACCCGCCTGCCCCACGGCGCCACCACGCTCCTGCTCCT